CAACATCAGCGGCGCTAGCGCAGGCCCGCTGGCTGGGGTGCACGGAACGCCGCGCGCGCGGTATGTATGGCCCGAGGCCAACAAACAGGGCCGGCCCGTGGTCGTCGTCGTCGTCGTCGTCGTCGTCGTCGTCGTCGTCGCCGTCGTCGTCGTCGTCGTCGTCGACGTCGTCGTCGTCGTCGCCGTCCCCGCCGACGCCGCCGCCGCCGCAGGGAATGCGGAGGGGTCCGGCGGAGAGCCGCGGAGTGCGATGGAGTGTGAACGAGGCGGGAGAAGTGCCGAGGAGGTCCGAGGACTGCGACGGAATGGGGAGGAATTGGGAGGAGCGTGAGAAAGACACCTGGAGAGTGCGGAGGAGTACGGAGGTGCACATGGGGAGAGTTTTGGGGAGTCTTCTGGGGGGACCTCCAGAAGCCTCCGGAAAACTCTGGATGCACCCGTCGTCGGCATCGCCGTCCCCGTCGCCGTTGCATTCGCCGCCGACGCCGCCGCTGCCGTAGGGCGCACCCCGCTCCCGAACACCCTGGACGCTCACACGCGCTCCCCAAAGAGCTCCCACATGCACCCCCCTGGATGCTCGCCTCCTGGGGCATTCGAGGAGTTCCATATAAAACAAGGCTAGGATCGGGATAAATCGCTCCAGAGCGTTCCGGAGCGCTCTCAGAGCGTTCCGGAACGCTCTGGAGCGGCCGCGGCGCCCAGTACATCCTCCAAACCCGCCGATTCTCAGAGATTTCGAGTTATCCCCATCCGATTTTGCCCCGATCTTCGCGTCGTTTTGCCATACCAGGCCGCACCAGCGGTGCTTCTCGGGAGGGGGTCTGTGCATCCTGGGCGGTTTCGTACCGGCCCGCACGGGCGGTGCCAGCGGCGCTTCCTATGGGGGATTCGCGCGCATGCTGGAGGGGGTGCTCGCTCCGCACAGGGCATCGCCACAACCGTGCCTGCAGCACGTTGAGGCGTGGAATGATGCCAAGGGCTGCCTGGCAGGTTTATAAGGGACGCCCCCCCTCCGCGGGAAGCACGCAGCCACCTGCACCGGGGGTTCCCTGGGCGGCCAGGGAAGGGGCTCCCCAAGGCTTCCATAACGGCCCAGGAGGCCCCCAAGCGGACCAAGAGGGCCCCGAGTCGCCGAACGATCCGCGGTGTCCCGTGGTGTCCCGCGGTGTCCCGTGGTGTCCCGCGGTGTCCCGTGATGTCCCGTGGTGTCCCGCCGAGTGAGATCGACAGTGAGATCGATAGTGAGATCGACAGTGGAATCGGTAGTGAAATCGATAGTGAAATCGATACTGAGATCGATGTGGTGCCCCGAGGTGTCCCGTGGTGTCCCGTGGTGTCCCGTTGAGTGAGATCGATAGTGAGATCGATAATGAGATAGACAGGTGTCCCGTGGTGTCCCGTGGTCTCCCGTTGAGTGAAGTCGATGGTGGGCTCGATAGTGAGATCGATACTGAGATCGATGTGGTGCCCCGAGGTGTCCCGCGGTGTCCCAAAAAGTGAAATCGATAGTGAAATCGATAATGAGATCGACAGGTGTCCCGTGGTGTCCCGGGGTGTCCCGTTGTGTCCCGTTGAATGAGATCGATAGTGAGATCGATAGTGAGATCGATAATGAGATCGACGTGGTGTCCCGACGTGTCCCGTGGTGTCCCGTGGTGTTTCGTGGTGTCCTATGGTGTCCCGTTGAGTGAGATCGATAATGAGATCGATAAAGAGACCAATAATGAGATCGAGAGGTGTCCCGCGGTGTCCCGTGATGTCCCGTGGTGGCCCGTGGTTGGTGGCCCGTGGTGTCCCGTTGAGTGAGATCGATAGAGATCGACAGTACAATCGACAAATGTCCCGCGGTGTCCCGTGGTGTCTCGTTGAATGAGATCGATAGTGACATCGGTTGAATCAGATGTTGGTTCCCCCCCTCCCCCCCACACACAACCTCCTTATCACCCGAAGTGTGGTCGCGTATGTACAGGCATATAAACAGACAGACAGACATGCATACATGCATACATGCATACATGCACACAAGTATACATACATGCATACATGCATACAAGCATGCATGCATACATGCATGCATACATGCATGCATGGATGCATACATAAACACATGCATAAATACATACATGCATACGTGCATAGGTGCATGCATGTATGCATACGTACATACGTACGTACCGACCTTCCTACCTACATACATACATGCATATATGTACACATACATAGTCATGTGTATATATATGTATATATATGGACGCCCCCTCCCCAACACATGATCATACAGACTCGTCTCTACCGCGGCCGCCGATCGATATCTTAACTCTCCGACATGTCGGGAGAACGTCTGGGGAGATGGGCGGGCACGGCAAGGTTCTCCCGAAATGGTGTTTTCTGGTTGTTGGTGTTTTTTGGGTGTCCTGAAGCTTTTCTGTGGCTTTCGCGATTTCGCTGATTCCGATATCACCCTCCTCTCTCCGCTTCGAAGCGGTACTCACAAATCTAATTGTGAACGCAGCTCCACAACTAGTTGTGCGAGTAATCTCCTGCTACGAAACATTACTCACAAAATTAGTTGTGAACGCCGTTCCACAACTAGTTTTCTGAGTAACGTGTTCCTCCTCACCTTCGTCATGCTCCTCACCCTCCTCTTCTTCCTCCTCCTACTCGTCCTGCTCCTCCCCCCCTCCTCTTCCATTCTCCTCTTCAATATGCGCCCTCTTCTCCGCTTCGGGGCGTCACTCACACATCTAGTTGTGAACGCAGCTCCACAACTTGATTTGCGAGCAATCTCCTGCTACTAAACATTACTCACAAAACTAGTTGTGAACGCCATTCCACGACTGGTTCTCCGAGTCACGTGTTCCTCCTCACCTTCGTCGTTCTCCTCACCCTCCTCTTCGTTCTCCTCATCCTCCTCCTGCTGCTGCTCCCGCTCCTCTTATTAATTATGCCCGCTGCTCACCACTTCGATGCGTTACTCACTAATGTATCAAAGTGTGCGAGTAACCTCCCGCTACGAAACATTACTCACACAACTAGTTGCGAGCGCCGCATCCTCACCTTCGCCATGCTCCTCACCCTCCTCTTCTTCCTAAACACCCTCCTCTTCCTCACCTGCCGCCTCCCCCTCCTGCTCCTGCTCATGTTCGTTCTGCCCGCTACTCTCCGCTTCGAGGCGTCACTCACAAATCCAGTTGCGAACGCAGGTCCACAAGCAGGTGCGTGAGTGATGTGTCGCGCCTCACCCTCATCGTGCTCATCCTCCTCGTTTTCCTCCCTCTCATCCCCCTCCTCCTCCTGCTCCTTCTCTGCGACCTTCACCCTGCCCCTTTCTCAAAGGATTCCGATTGAAACCCTTGACAAAAAGAAAAATGAGCCGGATGAGGAGGAGGAGGAGGAGGAGGAGGAAGATGAGGCGGACGAGGGGAAGGTTTCTATCGAGAGCCACCACAGAAGGATTTCTATTGAAATCCTCCACAGCAGGGTGACACCCTTCACAAGAAGGAGCAAGGGAAAATGAGGCGGGTCAGGATGAGGAGGAAGGAGAAAATCCTCCACAGGAGGATTCCTATTGAAATCTCCAACGGAAAGATCCGATTGAAATCCTCCGCGGAAGTATTCCTATTGAAATCCTTCACACAAGGAGTCCTATAGAAATCCTCCACATAAGGGTTCGCGTTGAAACCTGTCACATCAATGAGACCTAGGCGAATGAGAAGGAAGGGGGGGAGGAAGACGAGGCGGATGAGAAGGAAGAGGAGGAAGATGAGGCGGATGAGGATGACGGGGAGGAGGGGAGAGAAGACCCTCAACGAAAGTATTCCTAGCGATCGATTGCAACGCAGTCGATTGGATTGCAATGCGCCGCGAAAGATTGTAGTCGCTTCGCATTGAAGTGTTTGGAATGCACCCCTTTGGCTTTCCTTCGAGTCGGTGCCAATCCCTTGGCGTGCAATGTGATTGGCTACAGCGGTTTGGATTGCAATCGACTAGGTTGCGGCTGGCAACGTAGCAAAACATACTGAAGAAGAGCAGGAGGAGGGAAGGGGGAGGGAGGACTGGAGGGATGAAGGGAGAATGTGCATGGTCATGTAGGGCGAGCATACATATATATGTACATATATGCATACATCCAAACAGACATACACACACAATTCATACATACATACATACATACATACATACATACATACATACATACAGCCAGACAGACAGACAGGCAGGCAGACTGACTGACAGGCAGGCAGGCAGGCAGACAGACAGACAGACAGGCAGGCAGACAGACAGACAGGCATACAAACATACAGGCATACAGGCATTCATATATATATATATATATACGCATGCACACATATATACATGCATACCTATATACATACATGCATACATACATGCATACATGTACATGTGCACATATAGACATACATGCATGCATGCATACGTACATACGTGCAGCAATACATATGTACATACAAACATACATACATACATACATACATACATACATACATACATACATATACATACATACATACATACATACATACATACATACATACATACATACATACATACATACATACATACATAGATACATACATACCTACATACCTACATACCTACATACCTACATACCTACATACCTACATACATATATACATACATACATACATACATACATGCATGCATGCATGCATACAGACAGACAGACAGACAGACAGACAGACAGACAGAAAGACAGACAGACAGACAGACAGACAGACAGACAGACAGACAGACAGACAGACAGACAGACAGACAGACAGACATGCGTGTGTGCGTGTAAGTATCCCCCTCTCCCTGCCCCTCCTGCTCCAAGTCCCCCATCCAGGGGTGTTCTTCCCCACCCTGTCAACATCACCCTCCCAGATGTTCCTGCCATCTCATCCCCCTCTCCCTGTCGCCCCGCCCGGAACTTCCGCCCCCCCCTCGACCCTCGCTGCCCACGGAGGCGGGCTCGCGACCAGGGCATGCAGCGGGTCTGCGGGGTGATCGAGATCCGCGAGTTCCAGGATCCTGGGCGCGCTCTCCCTCTCTCTCTTGGTCGCCGCTCGGCACCGCCGCGCCGCGAGGACAGGGCACGGCCGAGGCACCCGCGGGATGCGCGCTGGCCGAGTCAGGGAGCCGCCGCGCGGTCGGCCAGGGGAGGAGGGCGAGCTGGACACGCGCGCGAAACAAGCCGGAGGAGGAGGAGAAAATGGCGCACAAGCAGGAGGATGAGCCGGAGATGGGAGGAGCAGCAGCAGCAGAAGGAGCAGCAGGACCAGGAGGACCGGGAGGACCGGGAGGACCGGGAGGACCCAGAGGACCAGGAGGACCAGGAGGACCAGGAACTCGGAACTCGGAACTCGGGGATCCGCGAAAGACCGTCACTCAGGACGGCACTTCCGGGGGTGTGCAAGACATAATAGTCTTGCAGACCAGAAGGAGGACCAGGAGGACCAGGAGGACCAGGAGGACCGGCGGAGGATGGGAGAGGAGGGGGCGGCCATAGCGAGAAAAGATCTGGGTCCAGAAAGGTGGCCCCCGCTTGGGCGAGAGCGCCGTTCTGAACGACGGGAGCAAAGCGCCGATCCTGAATTGTGGGGCCAACACTGGAACGGGAGCAACATGCTGATCGACCGAAGACGTCCTGAGCACGAGCATGGAATTGACAACCAAGTGCTGAAGTCATTTGTAGATGAGGTGTGCGGGAGAAGATGCGCCCCGCTCACACTGGATCCAGGGGAGAAAGAGGAGAGCAATACTCGAATCGAGTGCTAGTGGAAGGGGACGGGAGAAAGCGGCAACGGCCCGCGGCGGCTCGCGAGGCAGCTGCGCGCAAGTCGAGTGCGGACCCCTCGCAGATCGGGAGGGAAAGAAACACAGAGGCACAATGAACCGTCGATCCCGCGGAAAATATGGGAAAACCTGGGACGTGGGGGGGGGGAGGGGAAGACGAAAACCCAGAGAGTATGGGAAAGTGTGGGGGGATCCTGTAATTTGTGTGTGTGTTTATTTGTGTGTGTGTGTGTTTGTGCGTCCCAGGGCCCCTATAGAGTGGAGCAGGGAGAAGCGATGGAGCGAGGGAGGCGCGAGGAGGGGAGCGGAGGGCGGAGCGAGGAGGCAGAGAGAGGGGGGGGGGGAAAGGACACGGCGACAGGGAGGCGAGGCGAGGCGAGGCGAGGCGCCGGTCGGTCGCCCCTGCGGGGACGGCCCCACGAGAGCCCGGCGGCGGCGCCGGAGCGCCGAGGAAGAACCTGAGTCGAGGGGGAAGGAGGGGGAGGAGGAGGAGGAGGAGGGGGAGGAGGAGGAGGAGGAGGAGGAGGAGGAGGAGGAGGAGGAGGAGGAGGAGGAGGAGGAGGAGGCGGGGGAAGGACTCAGACCGTGAAGTGGGAGTTTCGCACAGAGAGGAGGGAGGGAAGGGAAAAGGTGGGCAAGGAGCCTCGGAGCCAGGAGCGGGGAGGGCGGGCACGGGAGACACGAGGGAGCGGGGAAGGAGGGGGGGCGAGGTGGGAGGAGGGAGGAGGAGCCTGCTGCCCATGGCTGCCAAGTCGTTCCCATCTCGTTGACACCGCGGCCCCAGCAGAACAGAAGCTCCCCTCGCGAGGGATGCAACCATACGCAGCTAGGAATACCGCATTGTGGGTGGCTTTCGGTGGAGCTCCCGATGGGGCCACGAAACGTGTGAAGGGCGCGCCGAAATGGGGCGGGCCCACCATGCGAACCCTGCCATTGGGGCCTTCGGTAGAGCTCCTTGTTGGGCCGCGAAACATGAGAGGGATGTGCCGAAGTGGGGCGGGGCCGCCATGCGAACCCTGTCATTGGGGCCTTCGGTGGAGTCTCATATGGGGCCACACAGCGTGTGAAACGTGTGCTGACATGGGGAAAGGCCGCCATGCGACCCCTGTCACTGAGGCCTTCGGTGGGGCTCCCTGCGGGGCCACGAAACGTGCAAGGGATGTCCAGACATGGAGCGGTGCCGCCATGCGAACCCTGCCACTGGGGCGTTCGATGGGGCTCTCAATGGGGACACGGAGCGTCTGAGTGCTATGCTGACATGGGGCGGAGCCACCATGCGAATCCTGCCTTTAGGACCTTCGGTGGGGCTCCCTGTGGGGCCGCGAAATGAATCAGGGGTGCGCCGAAATAAGGCGGGGGCGCTATGCGAACCCTGCCCTTGAGGCCTTCGGTGGGGCTCCCCATGGGACCACGAAACGTCTGAGGGGTATGCCACCTTCGGTGGAGCCCCTCGTGGGGCCACGAAACGTGTGAGGGATGCGAGAGGTGTGCCGAAATGGGGCCGGGCCTTCAGTGGAGATCCCGATGGGGCGGCAAAACGTGTGTGGGGTGTGCCGACATGGGGCGGAGCCGCCATGCGGACCCTGCCATTGAGACCTTCGGTGGAGCTCCCGATGGGGCGGCGACACGTGTGAGGGGTGCGCCGAAATCTGGCGGGGCCACCATGCGAACCCTGCTACTGAGGCCTTCGGTGGAGTCTCATATGGGGCCGCCAAACATGTGAAGGATGTGACAACATGGAGGCGGGGCCACCATGCGAACGCCTGGTGCACCTCGGTGCAGTGAATTCTCAGCACTCGTCTGGGTCCCTTCCCTGGCCCCTCACTAGTTTGTCCGGGCACGGCTCCTCGAGGAGTGACTCGGGAAGCGTCAAGGTCGCCCGCCTGGTGCTCAGAGCTGGGGTGGACTCCGACTCCGCCTCGAGGGCCGTGCCTGGCACAGCTTCCGCGGCCCCAGGTTTCGGCTCCCCCGCAGTGACTGCCGTGCCGGCTGGCTGCTCATCCTCCAGCGACGGGCGTGGTCTCCTGGCCGTGAACCCTCCGCCTCGGCGGGGACGTCGCCTCGCCGGGCGTCACTCAGCATGCCGCCGTGCCGGTCCCGCGCCGAAGCCGCGTCCGTCTCCGCAGTCTGGGCCTGGCGTCGCTCCTTGAAGCGGTCGCGTGGCAGCCCCTGGCTCGGGGGCGGCGTTGCAAGGTGCTCCTCGAGCTGCTCCCCACACCGCCCGAAACAACACGCCGCCCCTCCAGTCAACTGCAGACCTGCCCGCGCTGCCCCACCAGCAACGGCGCGCTCTCCCCGCCTCGCGTCGACGGCGGCCCGAAGGCCCGCCGCGCTCGGAGAGCCCACAGGCACCGCAGAAAACGTACCAGCCAAAGCTCCACCTACGGAAGGGGAACGCGCGTCACTGGCCAGCCGTGTAGACTGAGGGCTGGCCAACCTCCGCCGGGCACCCACGTGGAGCCACGCGGTAAACTCCTCCTCTCCTCATCCTCGGGACGACGGCTGATCCCAGCAGCCCTCGCCCGGGCATCCACTGCCGCCTCGGCCTGGGTGGGCGCCGCTGCCAGTGCTGCGGCCGCGGCCCAGGGTGAGCAGGCTCGGACCACTCCCCGTGGACCGCCTCCTGGCCCAGCTGAGCACGCGCCTGGCTCCAACCCTCGCTGACCCCGCCGCGGAAGCGCTAGACCTCCTGGCCCGGCAGGGCTCTGACCCCAGGGGGCGGGCCTCTCGCGTCGAAGATCAGGCGTGCCTGCAACGCTCCTGTCTCCTGTGCCCGCGGGGTCGGCGCAAGCCCAGAGGCGCCGTGCACTGGGACCCTGCCCTTCTGTCCGCGCGGGTGCCAATGGCCCGCAACATTCGGCAACTGGCGCGCGGATCGCGCAGCTCGAGGGCCCACAGCCAAGCCCCCCTCCTCGGGCACCCGCCCCTCCTCCGCGTCGACCCGCCGCGCGTTGGGCAGGCCGCTCGACATGGGAAGCGGAGGTGGGGGCTGCACCTCTTGGCCGCCCAGTCAGCCCGCGGGCGGGGGGGCCCGCCACTCGTCGCCAGGACCCAGACCTCCCTCTGGGCGACTGGGGCACCGAACTCGCTGCACACCCGCCCGTCCTCCGCGGCGCCCCACCCCTGCTGCCGAGACCGTCGGGCCCGGGGGCGCGTCCACCAGGGCCCACTGCGACACCCTCCTCCTCAGTTCCTCCGCGAACTCCAGCAAGTGGCCGCCGACCTTGGAGGGGCCCAGCGACGTCGCGCCCAGGACTAAGTCCCCCCTGCCACGGGGGACTCGCGTGCCAACGTTGTACGGAGGCCAGCCCGATGGAGGAGCTACCTCCCCGCAGGCTCCCGAGGCGCCTGCGGCGCGCGCGCGGCGCCAACGTACTCTGCAGCTCCACCACCAGCTAAGCCCTCTAAAGCAACGGTCGGGGAATCCCACCTGGCGTCCGGCGGGCCATAAGCTGCATCGCCACCTGCCAGTCGGCTGGGTCCACCAGGGCGACGGCTCGGACTCTCCGCTCGTAGCTCTGTGAGAGCACATCAGCCCGCCAGGTCGATCATCTGGAAACCTCCTTCCTGCATGCGCTGGCCAACCTCCCCCTCCAGTCGCCCTGCTGATCATGTCCGCCATCTCGTTGCTACACGCCCCGGTGCACGGCGCCGCCAAGATGCGGCAGTAATACTTCGCCTCGACATGCCTCAAGAGCCTCAAAGTGGCGCGCCATGCGGTCATTCGGCTTGCGGCCCTCAATATACCTCTGGACGGTCTGGTTGTCCCCGACGTAGAAAACCAAGCGTCCCTGCCACGCGCGCCCACGGGCCACGGCGAAGGCAACCACGCAGAATAGCTCACCGGGGCGATGATCAGCCACCTATCGGGCAAGCCTGCAGCCTCCTTCAACGCTTCCATGTAGCCCTCCAGCTCCCGTCGAGAATAGAGCTGCGCCGCCCTGTCGATCCCGCGACCTGGAGGGCTGAGTCGCCCCCGACCCAGATGGCCTGCCCCGTGGTGCCCGGGATAGCCCATCGCTAGCGCGGCTCGACCATGCCCGCGAAAGAGGCGAGGAACGTCGCGCCCCAGGTCTCAGGCCATGCAACCATGACGCGTGGCATGTCGCAGCAGTCCCAGAACTCCTGCGGTCTCCTGCCCCTCCGAGTTCCCCTTGGGGCAGGCCCGCGCAGTCGGGCCACCAGGCTGACACATGAGCGTGTCCAGGGCCCCAAGCTCCGCCCCCAAGGCCTGG